TCTAAAGACACTGATCATAGTTCTGATGAATCTCATTTTAATCCCTTTCTGGACAAGTACTCTTATGAAAAAAAGGTTTCCTTAGAGAGCATCACTGGGGACAAACTTTCAAATCCCTCTTTGGAAGCATTTTCTGAATGACAGTGTCAGGTCATAAGTAAGCTGACTGAAACAGAAGACCAAGGACAGGACTAGAAGGTTAGAGTCCTAGCCTCAGCCACAACCATCCACATGCTCCTATGTTAACCTCAGGAGGCAGGTGCCAAAACAAAGAAGAATGCATGCTATTCACTGGGATGCAACTTTTTGACAATGGGCTGCAGAGCACACCAGAAGTGCTACTGTCAGCAGATGTCCTTCAGGATGACACATTGTTGGTGGAGACATCACTTTCAGAGAGGATAACTGAAGACAGAGATGTAGTGAGTATCAGCATGACAAGCAAGGAGACTGTCTTCTAGTACCCTCACTCTCATCACACCAGTCAGAGGATGTTCCAGGAATCCCTGACCACTCCAGGTAATTGGCTATAGGAACACCAAAAGGGTGGAAGTCAAGCCTCCTTGCTCTGCCCAAATACAACTACCACCTCCACTTCAGTGCTAACACTGTAATTTCATGTAAAAGGTAACAGACTAAACAACACTTCACCTACATTTACTTCTTTTTTAAATTATTATAAAACAACCCTAACATAAAATTTATCATCTGAATCATTTTTTAGTAGAGTTAAAGGTATTTACACTGTGGTACAACCAATCTCCAGATTTTTCTTTCCATTTACTTACAAAAATTCTTTTTCCTTTAGTCATTTTTTTCTTTAAGGTCTCTATACTGGACCTAAAGAGGACTATAAAATCATACGGATATGAAATTTTCTACCAATAGTATTATCAGAAGATACTGTTACCTGTTAGGAGTTATTTTAAATACTAACCCAGGGTCTTGCTCATGCTAGACAAGTGCTCTACCACTGAGCTACATCTTGGCTCTGTATTATCTTCTTAAACTTTGCAAAAAGCCAGTATCCTTGCAGAAATTAAGAAAAAGTTTTCATCTGACTTGAGAATTAAAAGTCTTATGTTGATACATATACACATTCATACAATCGTTTTACTAAATGTTTAAAATTTAAAACTACAGAAAAAGGTCAAAAGAAAGTGTCTATTAGGAAAAAACAGCTCTTGCAAGTAAACATATAACGTAATGATATTTGAATGCACTTAGCTTCATATAAACTAGATTTCTCTTCAGAACTGGTAGTTGAATAACCTAGGTATTTGCATTATCTAGTTGTACATTTATTAATGTATGTATTATATTACTGGACACTATATAAGGAACTTTTACACCCTATTTTGAAATAAATATCTTCATTTTTTTTTTTTTTGGCATGCTGGTGATCAAACCCAGGAACTTGCTCATGCTAACCACACCCTCTGCCATTAAGCTACATCCTCAACCCCTTCAATTTTTAAAAATGGTAATGAAAATCCTAATTCTTCTTTAATATTGAACATTGATGAATAAAGAAAAAACATGGATTCCTAAACTTGCAAAAATGCAGCAAGGTGTTTCTGGAAGAGTTCCTAAGGGAATTCTGGAACAAGTCTATAGGTAAATGTGGTGGTAATTTCAGCATCAAAACATATACTTTCCTGGTTAGTTAACAGAACAATATGGGCAAGAGGAAGCATATTTCCTGTGTGGTTTCCACCCTCAACTCTCTTGGTTAGGTTGGTCACAATGTAGGGAAGGGGATGTATGGGCTGATCTTTAGGGGCACAAGCTAGTGGGTGGCTGGCTGCCTTTCCTCTCCTTTTGCTTGAGGCTCCCTGTAAGGACACAGGTTCTTGAGCCAGTGTCAGCTTACTTCTGCACACTGATCCTATACATCACAGGAAAAAGGATGTATATCTTGTCCAAGGTTCCACATATGCTCCGAGGATAGAATTCTATGATAAAGTTCTACCATTATGAAAAAGAGAAGTCATAAGAATTGTGAAACCTAAGTTTAGTTTTGGATTTCTAAAACTTAAGCCCATGAAAATTACAAGACTGAAAATACAACCTGAGTTTTGCATAACTTTTATATTTTCATGTTGACGACCAAACTCTGAAGCTGCAGGTAGAGATGAGGAAATAAGGCAACAGACATAAAGGAAGAGTCTAGGGTAGGTGGGCTGCTCCTCCAGTGTTCAGAAACATGTCTTCTAAAGGCAAAACATAAAAGAAGTCATGACCTGTGGGGACCAAGCAGAGCTGTGAAAGAAGATGGCAGAAGACTAGAAGCAAGGATGACTGATGTCACAGGAAAGAGCCCAAGGTCTGTCTTGCTGTGAGACATTTTAAAGGAAAGAAAATAGTAAACTATAATAGTTGCCTAAGTCTCTTCTGAAAGGAAAGCCAAGAGATCATGGAGAAGGCTGAAAAAGGGTTGGTTGGTGCAAATTTCTTAAAGGAGACAGGCTGGGCTTCCCTAGAGGACAACTGGGCATTCGAGAATGGTCTTTGGGCCTAATGGAATCATATTTCCTTTAGCCAAGGAAGGAGGGAGGCACTGAGGCCATCACCCCTGAAGGTATCACCTGAATAGAGGAAGTCCTGCAACTCAGGCCTCTATGCAGGGTCTGGTGGGCTTTTTCAGAGAGAACGAAAGAGGTAGTTACTTTGAACATTTGGGAAAGAGAGGGCAGACGGTTAGAAATGTGACCCAAAGACTAAAGTACGGAATCTCAAAAAAGCTGAGTCAGCCTACTAAACTGGGGGCAGTGGGTGCTCAAAGCAGACAGGCTGAGGCGCAGAATTTCAGACAACAGATGTTAGTTGGTACAATGGGAAGGCTGRGCAGGTATTCCTGAGACCTGGACTTACTTCTCAACTGTACTGACTTGCCACTAGCTATGAGATAAGACATTCAGTATTCTCAGACTTCAATTTCCTGAATCATAAAGAGAAGGTTTGAACCAGACTCATGCTACACATAACCCAAGGGGTATGCAGAAGTAGCTAGGAGGGTTACAGGTTTCCACATTTTCAACATGTAAACGGAGCATTTAATGCCTCTAAAAGTCACATATGTCCTCAGAAAAAGGGTTATTCTAACAGTGGAGGCCATGCTCTTTGATTTTCAAAAAATGGCAGAAAGCGTACAAGACAGATCTGAAGTATTAGTTTACTTCTCTTTGTCTTCCCAGTTTTAATTAGTCACTCTCTTCTCTCCATATAGATATCTGGAGAAAAAAAACTCTTGGGAGTGAGGAGCTGTCTAGAGCAATAGAAGTCTAGAGGGAACCCTGTTCACTTTTCCTAATTTCTTTCCAAGCCTATCTATGTATTCACTTACAGGCAACTCCAGGCAAAATATGTTTAGCAAAAGCAATTGAAAAAAAACCTTGCTCTAACAGAACTGTGCCATGTTGCTACATTATTGGTAAAACAAACTTAACTGAATTTAAAGATAATTTAGTGGTAGATGCACACAATACCTTTATTTTTAAATTATTTCTACGTGGTGCTGAAGGTTGAACCCACTGCCTCACACATGCTAGGCAAGTGCTCTAACACTGAGGCACAACCCCAATCCCTTAACTGAATTCTTAAGGGAGTTTAGTGATCATACTCTATGGACTGGTCTAGAAAAGAGTGGAGGCTGGATTCTACTT